TGGATGCCAGCCTGGGCTACATAGTGAGTTCAAGGCCAGCCTCAACTGCCTATTAAGACCCTGGCTCAAGAAACCTAAAAACAAACAAACAAAAAAATCCTAGACATAGTCCTAGTACAAATCAGAAGTCTTTCCGTGAGGAAGTGAGGACTTCCTGGGACAGTCTCTCCCTGAGGGGGAGAAGAGTGGCAGTGGCTTGCAGGTGATCTGGGATTGTGTGTTTAAAGCTTGTGACATATGTCCTTCAAAAGGAAATGTCAAATATAGTCAATGTACGCATGCAGGTTCCCAAAGCAACCTCACAACATTCGATGTTACCCTGCCAAGAAATGTGGCCACTGCATTCAGTTCTTTGTTTTTATCTAGGAAAGCAGGGCCATTTGACGAGTCAGGAAGACTGTCCTGACACTGGAGCCCAGGCTCTCTGGGGACCCTAGGAGCACTCCCAGCCTTACCCTCCAGGATAAAGGGAGCCACCACCGCCCCAAAACTGACCTCAAGCAGTGGGGGTCACGGACCAAGTCCCCTCCCCTAAAAGCCCATTGGTGTCCTAGCCCGTAAGACCTATGACCTGCATCCTACGACCTGCGACCTGCAACCGACGTGCTTGCCTGGAGCTTTGGCTTCTGTGCCCCAGGGCACCAGAGTCTGGGAGATAAGAAAGGCGCTAGGGCTTGCGTTTTGCAGATGAGGTTGGGAGAAGTTAAGGAACTGCCCCTCATGGGACCATGGTGAGTCGGACCAGGTGGGACCGGGTCAGCCTAGGATGACTCTGCTCCGTCTGTGTGTTAGAATCGCCCTGGGGTCTTGGGACACTGACTAAGTCACACTGGCTACTGCAAGGACAGAAAGCAAGCATGGGCACGCATTGTCCGCAGGCGAGGGTCGCTCTGGAGAACCAGCGCGGAAGACAGGCAGAGCGCTGTGGGGGAAGGGCTCGGCTGCAGTTGGATGGTAGCAGGAGAGCGGCGGTGGAAATGCTCAGTGAGTGACGGTCATCGTGCAGATCTGCAGAACCGAGGCAGGGCGCCATGTGGACAGCTGGGCCAAGTTCCGGGCACAGGGCTTTGTCCCGAGCCAGCGGCAGGCCTGCCTGAGCGCCTGGGGTGGGAACCGGGGCAGAGACAGGGATGAGCTCAGAGAATCATGTGAGACTTCCTCAGCCGCCTAAGACTTTTGTCCTCCTTGCTACCTAAGCCTACCGGTCACTTGACTCATGTTCACCTTTGCACCAACGTCCAACAGTTAACGTGGGTGTGCTAAATGTCAGTGTTCAAGTTGGAGCATCTGAGCGCGTTTGGGACCAGGGCGCTGAGAAGGACGCCAGGAGCCCTTTTGCTCTCTGAAAGAAGGGAATAGAAGTCCAATCTCAACAATAATGGCACCGTGAATTTAAATATTTGCTTCCCAACTGCTCTCTCTAGGAGAAATCAGCAGTTCTTCTAGTCCGCCCAGCTCCTCTGACTGCCACCTGCCTGCTGTCTTTGATTTGTCTTCTTCTCTCCTGGCCTGGCCTTAGTCCGTCTCCTCGGTTTGCTCCCCCCGCCCCACCCCTAACTCCAGGCCGGCCACCCTTGGGGCGGGGGCCGCATTCCTGTTCCCTGCCACGTCTCCCTGTCACACCCTCGCCCCACCTGTATTTCCTGGTCTTGTTTCCTGTGACAGACGCAGACGGTGGTCCTTCCAAACTGAACCCCTGGCAACAGTAGCAGTGTGTGGCTCGGGGTGGGCCGCGTGCCTTGCTTTGCACAGAGGGAAATGGGGTGTGGGCAGAGGCACCACGAGTCACGCACATGCAGACGTGTGCTCTGGAAGCCGCCGTCTGCCGCGCTGCAGACCCTGCGGCCTGGACTCCCGGCTCCTGTGCAGAGAGAGACCCTGCGGGGCAGACGCCCTCCTGGACCACCCACCCCAGCCCGGCTCCTGGCTGCTACAGCGAGGGCCCTGGGAGCCGGCAGCTGCCAGACTGTCAGACCTGTGAAAGCTTCATGAGCATGTCATGGGCTTTACACTACAAGTTTTGTGGTGCTCTGTTTCTGAGCGATAGATAACCAAAACTGTCTTTATCTCAACTGCTCCCAAGCCTGTGTGTCCCAGGGAAGGCTCTGCTGTCCGCTGGCCATTCCCCTTCCCCACACCTTTAGGCCCGCTTCCCCTTGCCCCAGGGTCACCCGACATGTGGCGTGGAGCTTGGGCTTGAGCCTTCTGAGCAGGAAGAGAAAGCTGGGTGTGCTCAGCATTCTCCGGCTGTGTTGTGCCTTGCGAGAGACTCTCCCGTCCCGCCAGGCGCTGGGCTCCACCTGCCCTGCTGAGTCACTGTGCTGGGAAATCAAGGGCTGGCACCGCCAGCAGCGAGCACAGCTCCAGCTCCTTGCACCCGCACCCTCTTCCTCACAGCTGTCCTCCTGCCCCGCCTGCCTCTTCCTCCCGCTCTGTACAGCAAGATGGTCCGCCGCTTTGTTCACTCTTTTACTTTTAAAAAAGATTAGCTGTTTTCAAACTAGACTCAAAAAAAATAATGTTGCTGGCTATTCTTCAGAGGACAATTATCTAGAGTATACACAGAACACAAAAGATTAGCACCCCCAAAAATAAAAGACACAATCCATAAATGAGCAACTGAAATGACCAGACACTTTTCAGAAGTATGGGTGGTCAATATATACACAGAGAAATGCTCGGCATCACGGGCCATTGGAGAAATGCAAGTTAAAACAGCACCGAGATCCAGAGAATGGCCGTCATCAAGAAATCAAATAACAAATGCTGGCAAGGCTGGGGTGGGGGAATCCGTCCACACTGTTGACGGGAATGTAAACTAGTACAATAACTGTGGATCAGTATGGAGATTCCTCAAAAATTTTTCCTTTTCCACCATGAGAGGTGGAAAAGAAAAAAATCAGAGTAAAGGAGGTGCTGCTCCTACTGAGACAAAAATAAGTTTAAGACTGGGAGCAACTGTGCATGCCTGTCATCCCAGCACTCGAGGCTGAGGCAGGAGGATCTCTGCAAGACCAAGGTCAGCACCGGCTAGCGAGTTCAAGGCCAGCCTGAACTACACAGCAAGACTTTGTCTCTGAAAACAAGCAAAAGCACGTTTAGTGCACAGTCAGTTCCTGTGTCAGATACTGGTGTGACAGCAAGTTCAAGACCTGAACACTACAGAATAAGGGCTGAGGCAGTAATGAGCGAGCTCTGTGGATAATCATGAACTTCGTTTGCAGCTGGAAAGCCAAAGTGAAATTTTGAAAGCAAAAGAGATCTCAAAGGGCCATTTTTCTGATGACAAGGAATGTACATTTATTTGAGATACTTTAGAAAATATAGATAAGTAAAGGTGACTACAACAGAAACTACTTCTAAAAACAATGAAAAATTGCTGCCTTGCCTAACCACACATAAAATAAGGGATGATGTTGTTTTGCTTTGCTTTATTTTCTTACCCATGTATTACATATCACTTTTCACTTGAGTAATATTTTCCTGTGTTATTATTTCTTTTTTCTCTGTATGGTACTGGGGATTGAACCCAAGGCTTGCACATGCTAAGCATGTGCTCTACCACTGAGTTACACCCCTGCTGGCGAGGGACCACTTGGAGTGGATAAATTGTATTGCTTTACTCCATTTGGCCAGAGAACTGATGTTTTACTTTCCCTTTAACCACTGAGCTTTAGCCCCAGTCCACTAAAAGATTTTCAGCCGTTCTCTAACTTTGGATATTTCCATAGGTCATAATTTTTCTTTTACTACTCTCAACAGCAAGAATAAACATCCTTGCATAGATCCATGATTATTGCCCAAGGGCAAATTCCAAGAAATGAATTTCCTGAGTCCAATGTTTTGCGTTTTGGTCTTTTATACATATGGTCAAATCTTACTTCAGAAAAACCTCCTCCTGCTTTTGTTACATACACTTAGCTCTTGGACCCTCGCTGCCACTGATTATTATTATGCTTTTGTTGTCTTTGTATGATCGATCAGGGCCACAGCTCATATTTGAAGACGTATTACTACGGCAAAAGCACCTGCCTGGCAAGTGTAAGGTCGTGAGTTCGGTTCCCGGTACCGGAGAAAAACCAAAAAAAAAAAAAAAAAAAAAAAAAAGACGTATTACTAGTGAGACTGGACGTTTCTTTTGTCTGGGATCAGAGCAAGTCTGTGAATGCTCCTCCCATAGGAACAATGCAGATTCCTTGTCATAGAACTTGCAAATACTTTGCCTGTGTCAGTTTGTCTTTGTTATTGTTTGTAGTGATTTTGACATAGGCAGTTCTTTAAAAGTAAATAGATTTATCTATCTCCTTCCTTCTGAGTTCCTGCCTTAGTTGCCGCACTTAGGCTGTTAGCATCTCAACTAGTTAAAAAATACTTGTTTGCATTTTTTAAGTGTTATTATGGTTTCTTAACATTTTATATTGCATTTAATCTTTTTTTACCACTACTGTTCAATAGTTTTTTCCTACTACTTTTTTCTGTTTATTATGCATTCAATCTCTTTGTGTTTGTTTGTTTGTTTGTTTATTTGTTTTGAGACAGAATCTTATTACATAGTTTAGGCTGACTTGAATGCACTATGTACTCTAGGCTAGCCTGAAACTCTTGGCTATCCTCCTGCCTCAGCCTCCCAGAATGCTGATATTACAGGTATGATTTCTTTAACCTATGGATTATTTAGAGATGTATTTTAAATTTCCAAATATATGGAGAGTTTCTAGTTAAGATTTAAAAAAAACATTGATTTGTAGTTTAATCCTACTCTAGAGGACACATTTGGTATGACTTATAGCATATGGGCAATTTTTGTGTATGTCCTATGTGTGCTTAAAAAGAATACCCATCTGTGGTTGGTGGATGTGACAGTCTACGTACGTCATTTAGATTAAATTATTAGTCACCTTACTCAAGGATTTTTTCTGTTGCTTCTATCAGCTCTATAGAGCATTGTACTAATCTCCCACTTTGGTAGTCACATTTCCTGTTTCACATTTCCTGTTTAGGTGTGGTTTGCTGCCCAGTGATTTGGTCAATTGTCACCTGTCCAAAAGCAGGTAAGTCATACGCTGAAATAAGCATTTAGCCACTCTACTAACTATTTTATTTTTTTATGGATTTTGGGGGACAAGGTCTCACTAATTTTTTTTTGTTTTGTTTTCAGTACCAGAAATGGAACTCACGACCTTGTGTTTGCCAGGCAGGTACTGTGCCACTGAGCTATATCCCCAGCCCTAGGGTCTATTCCAGACTGGTCTTGAACTCACTATGTAGTCTAGGCTGGCCTCAAGCTCATGGTGATCCTCATGCCTCAGCCTCACATCTATTCACAATTTTTGTTGTTGTTGTTGTTGTTTTTCTGGTACTGGAAATTGAACTCACGACCTTGTGCTTGCCAGGCAGGCGCTGTGCTGCTGAGCTAAATCCCCAGCCCCTCTATTAGCAATTTGACATTGCTATGATGTGCATGCATGTGATCAATAGCCTTGTATTTTGTGTGCTTTCTTCTTTATATTAATTCTTTTTTAAATTATACTTTTAGAGCCAGATGTGGTGGTGCACACCTGTCATCCCAGTTCTGGGGATGCTGAGGCAAGAGGATCACTGTGAGTTCAAGGCCAGCCTGGGCTACAAAGTGAGCTCAAGGCCAGCCTGAACTGCATGGTGAAACCCTGTCTCAAAAAGAAAACCAAAAAAAAAAAGTTTAAATTATAGTTTTATGGTAGAATTGACATGCATCAGATTAGAAAGTTTTTAAATATTCCTTTATCACAGATCACATGAAAAACACTGTTTTATCTTGTAGCTCTATCAAAGTGTGCTTCATACCTTTCAAATGTTCTTCAAGGTGTAAAATCTTAGAATTGCATAATTTTCCCAGTGAGCTGAAGATTTTATCGTGAATCACCTCCTGGATCTCTAGATTACCTGTTACCTTAAAAATCCACTTTTGCTGTATTTCTATAGACCGGCCCCAGCCTTCTTTTTTCCATCCATTTATATATCTTGCGACTTTACCAAGTCTTTTGTAAGCAACGTATAGGAATGTATAAAAATCCTGTCTGGCAGACTTCGTTGCTCAGTTAGAGCATTTAGTTTACTAGGAGTAAATGTAGTTGCTGATGTGTTTACACTGAATCTGCAGTTTTCCTACTTGCTCTCTCTTTTCCTTGCTGGCTGAACGCCGCTCTTCTCATTCCTTGCCTTCCCTGGGGCTCAGCATTTTTTAATGCTGCACTTTTTGGCCACTGGCTTGCTAGTTACGGGTAAGCTGGGCTGTACCCTGCGCTGGCTGCAGTGACTGCAGTGTACGTACAGGTTTCGCTGACAGCGGCGTGGTCTGACTGCCTCTGATCTCCCCGGAACAGTAAGAACCTCTGCACCCCATTCACACCTCACCATTTCTGGGGCGTTGTTTTGTTTAGTTCTTTATCTGTATTTTTCCCTAAGGCTTTGCTATGTTTTCCCCCCATTGAAAATTTGAAGCTTTATTCTTTTAAAACAATTTTGACATTATCTTCATGTATTACTTTTTTTTTTTTTTTGGTCTTTTTGAGACAGGGTCTTGCTATGCAGCTGAGGCTGGACTTGAGCTTACTTTGTAGCCCAGGTTGACCTCAGATTCACAACAATCCTCCTGCCTCAGCCTCTCAAGTGCTGGGGTTACAGGCTGTGCCACCATGCTGGGCTGTGTATTACAGTTTTTAAAAAAATGCTGAGAATAAACTGTCTCCACGAAATGTTTTATTCAGAAGTTAAACTGTTAACATATATGATCAATTGACAACAGAAACCTAATTTTTATGTTATCATAAAATTATGTTACATCTGATAGATTATCAGCATTTTATAATTATGTTATTAACCCATAATTGTGTCTCACTGTCATACATTGATGTAAGCGCTGTATATCTAAAAAAGAACACACATATACAACATGTTTGAGGTTACAAACACCCTAAATCATTGCCTTTGACTTTTTAAGGAGCTTGAGTAAAAATAAAGTGTTTTAAAAATTAAAAGCTCATTTTAAGTACTTAATTTAAGCAAAGACTGGACATAAAATAACAGTTTACTTATTATAAAGAAGCAAGCAAGCCTTTCATGTCTCTTAAAACTATTAGCATTAGGCAGCATAAACAAACTTATTAACAGACCAGGTAATTTATAGTTAGTAACTCCTTTTTGTCTCTTTTAATTGATTAAGCTTGTTGGTACATTTTAGATGTATATAATGGTCGCATCCATTGTAGGGAATTTGTACCTGTACATGATACACTTTGCTTCCTCTTTTTATCCCATTCCCCTCCTCCCTTCAACCCTCCTTCCTCTCCTTATTTGCAAAAGCTTTATTTTCATTTTTTCTTTCTTCTCTGATTTTCTGTCACCCCTCTTCCCTTTCCATTTGAACATTTACTTCCTATTTCACAATACCTATTATACGTTTTAGTCCTTATTTACACTTTCCTTTTCTTGCACCAGAGAAGGAATGCAACATTTATGCATGTGTGTCTGATTTATTTCACTTAAGAGTATAGCCTCAAGATGCTTCCATTTACTAGAACTATGTCAAGTTTATTCTTCTTTAAGGCTGAGTAGTACTCCATTTTAAATTGTTAAGGTTCTGTTAAACAGTCATTTACATATTTACTTATTTTTAAATTATCTGTATTTGTTACCTCTTAAAGCAGAGTGAGACCTGGGCACTCCATTTCCATTCACAGGCCTTGTTCCAAATTATTTTTCAACCAGCACTGCCATACACCTAGGAAGTTTAGTTTATTCCTCTAAACAATACTTCTCTTTGGAAACCAAGTCCTGTGCACTTCCTGCCATCAAGTTGTTTCAGTTTAATGGACTTTAAATAGTCATTTAAATCAGCCACGTGTTTACCCTTTGTGCTGTTTATCCTTTCTTGCATCTTCAACTTTTTTATTTTTGTACCGGGAATCAAACTCAAGATCTTGCGCTTGCCGGGCAGGCACTGTGCTGCTGAGCTACATCCTTGGCCCATCTTTAACCTTCTTGATGAGCTAATTCTTCTCTGTGGAGAGCACCCTGTGAAGTCCCTTAACGTTGGTCTGCAGTCACAGAACGCCTCTCTCACTTCTATGTCAGCATTTGGAAGGTCCCATTCCCTGTTATTTTTCCTTTCCTCCCTCCCTTCCTTCCTTCCTTCCTTCTTTCCTTCCTTCCTTTCTTTCTCTCTTTCTTTCTTTCTAGGGGATTGAATCCTTCTAACTGAGCTACATCCCTGGCCCTTTTTATTTTTATTTTGAGACAGGATCTCACTAAGCCACTAAGTTGCCTAGGCTGGGCACAAACTTGGGATCCTCCTGCCTCACCCTCCAGAGTGCTGGGATGATAGCTATGCACCACCACGCCAGCCTCTTCACTGACTGTTCTACCCTCAGGTGTCTTCAAGCAGATATATTCTACATCTTCTCCCAGATTTTATGATTGTGTTGATCGGAACTGCTCATCTTTCATTGCAAGAAGACTAAAGTGGTCAACTTTCATTTTCCTGGAATGCATTTAAATCGGAGGTGAGTTATCCTCTTAGTCCTGGCATCATGCATTGACCAATATCTTCATGATGTTATAATCTGTCACTGTTATGCTGCTGTATGATTATTTGGGTCTGTTTCTGGGCTTTTTGTTCTGTTTAATATTTCTACACCAGAGCCATGTCATATACTGGTCAGAGTCAATGGCTGTAATTATCACACATTTAATATCCGGTGACAGAGGGCTCACGTGTTCTCTCTCCATTTCCCTCCCTCTTTATGGAAACTTTTTGTTATTTTTTCACATATCTTTGTTCTTACATGTGAATTTTATAATCTTCATTATATCTCTCCACTAAAATCCCGTGGAAAATTTGATGGGAATTTTATTGGACAATTAATAATTTTCAGTATCTAATGTTTCCATTAGATAGCAATGTGCCATAAATCTCTTTAAGTCTTTTAAAATTTGTCCCAACCTCAGGCAAAGGAGCTGGACTTCCATTCTCCCAGTTGCTCTTGGGCCCAGGGTAGCCTAGGGAGGAATAGAATCCTGGGTACTGCACATCCAAGAAGTGTTCCAGTAACGCAGGGGCGTATTCCAAGAAGAACTCTGCAGTTACCAACTAGTAGAGGTAAAAGCCCACCGAAACCAGAGGACTGGTGCAGGAGCAGCAGGGAAATGCAAGCAGCTCAGATAGAATCGGCAGTGTTTGCTGCAACCATTGTGCCTATGTTGGGTTTGTGTACATTCGTCAGTCTAAAAATTTCAACCAATGTGGCCATTATTTTTTTCTGGCCCTCTTCCAAGTCTACTAAGAGCAGCTCCTCCAGTGCTGTCCCTGGGTAAACAATGGCTCGTTTCAGTTTCCTCCTTCCTGAACTTGGACGTCACCGACAGAGAATTATAAATCTTGCTTTACTGCTCCAGTGTCTGTAACTTTATACTTGAGTACAACCCTGGCTGGCCCTAGAAGTGTCCCCAAAAGCTCTGAAATACAGAATGACCAAAAAGTGAAAGGAGGAAAGAGAAAGAGAGAGATAGAAAGAAAGAAAATGAGAAAGAAAAGAAAAAGAAAGAAAGAAAGAAAAGGAGAGAGAGAGAAAGAAAGAAAGAAAGAAAGAAAGAAAGAAAGAAAGAAAGAAAGAAAGAAAGAAAAAGAGAGAGAGAAAGGAAGAGTGAAGTAGAACTAGAAGTAACAGGACAGTACAGGAAATGGAGGCAAACAGCTGAAGCAACATGGACAATCCTGGGGCAGTGACAGATGAGGTGTGGCATGGGACAGGATGTTTGGGATGTAAGGTTCGTGCAGGTACACACACACACACACACACACACACACACACACACACACACACAGAGAGACATAACACACAAACCAACCACCCAACCCCAGCTAAGAGCCCAGAATACGTAGACCCCATTTGAGCCTATGGTATCATTGTTATAGAATATAAATATTTTAGGGACTCACAAGAAGATTCTTTGTTTAAAAGGTTAAGGCGCTTTGTAAGAACACATTCACCTGAAGAGATAAGAAAGTCAGTGTTATAAAAGAAATGTTCTCCTTCAGTGTTGTAAAAGAAGTGTGATATAAGTACAGCATCATCTGTCGCTGTCATTTTTCTCCTTGCTGGGGCGAGATACCGGACGCCTGTAACTAAAAGGAGAGGTTTGCTTTGGCTCAGGTTTCGGGGCATTATCTGCTGGCTCCAAGGCGGGGTGGCGTGGCAGAGGGGCCTGGCAGAGGAGAGCTGCTCAGGACATGGGGCACAGGAAGTAGGGAGAGGAGGGAGGGGACAGGGGGGAGACGACCCCACCCAGGCTGCCTCTTCCCACCTGACCCCAGCCAACAGCAAGTCAGCTGTGATGGCCCAGTAATGCAACCACACGAGGCACTGGGGGCTATTTGAGATGTAAACCATGGCAGTCCTGGAGCCATTTCTTTAGCTCAGGAGTGGGTCCGCATTCTAAGGGAAGGAGACCGTGGGTGAGAAGGGAAGGGACTCTTCTCACAAGAGGAGCACGAGGCAGCTCCACACCACAGCCTTGGACACAGCGGAAGCAAGGGGCTGATCAGAGCTCCATGCCTGTCCTGCACATACGTGTCTGTACTGGGCATCACTTCCAGCCCTCCTGGGGTTCCGGCATGCCCTGACTGCTGGAGCATCTGCAGGAAGAGGATGTCAGGGACCCACAAATGGGGGCAGAGATGCCAGCAGTGCTGAGCGGCCTCATGAGGCCTCAAGAGCATCCGTGTCTGCGGCGTGGGCATCACTCAAAGAAGCCAGAGCTGGAGGAAGGCGTAGCAAGGATGCAGAGCCTGGGGAACTGGGACAGAGGCGGCTCTGACACAAAGGAGGCGGGCTCGGGAGTCCACCGAGAAGCAGACGCAGGTGCAGGCGAGATGCACGGGGCCATGCCGTGATAGAGTGAAAACAGAAGGGCTCAAGCAAAGGTGGGCGACACAGCCTGAGCCCTGTAGGGGAGAATTAAGCAGAAAGAGGCTCAGACTGCATTGGGGGAGTCAGGAGCCAGCGTCTCTTGGTGAGAGTCCACATCCTGCACGAGGTCACTGTGCTCGGGACTGGCAAGGGCGGCATCGGTGAGGATATGTGAAGGTTCCAGGTAGCTGCAAGGGAAGGAATACGTGTCCCCTGTTCCCGCTGCTCAGAAACGCCAGCGAGCGCAGCACTGCGAGGGGAGCCCTGTCGAAGGAATGGGAAAGCTGCTCAGCACGTCCAAGACTTCCCAACAGTGGTGGCCTGTGCCCGGAAAGGGTCTCAGCGGACTGCAAAGCTGGCCACTCTGGGTTTGCGATGACACCGTTCATCAGGACTGAGTTGGGAACTATCAGTTCAACTGGTGTTTCAGCCACACCAGGTTGGGCTCATTTATCAACACCCAGTACCCACAGTTTAGCCCTAGAGGGGGAGCGAGGGGAATGCAGGGCGGGTCAGAGGAAGTGTGCAGCAGTGGCAGCTCACGGAAGTCTTCACATCAAGAGCTGAGGACAGGCAGCTCAAGAGCACCGCTGTTAAAAGATGTGGTATGGTAAGTTCACGCCTGGGAGGTCATCAGCTGTGATCTGGGAGTGTCCTTCTTAGCTTTTGAGGGTGACATCAGAGAGACTGCATTATTGGTCCCATAATATTATCTACTGGGTCCATATTGCTAGATCAGATATACAAGGTGTGACTGGAAAATAGAGGGGATGTTTAAATGTTTTCTTTTTTAATTATTACAATAGGGCCTGGGATATAAGTCAGTGGCACAATGCCTGCCTGGCAAGCACAAGGTCCTGAGCTCAATTCCTGGTACCAAAAAAAAATTATTACAGTAAAAGACATTGCCATTAATCCCCCTCAAAATACTCCCCTCACCTCAAACACACTTATCCCATCGCTCCGTCATTTTCTGAAGCAGTTCCGGGAGTCCTCTTTTGTGAGTGTCTTTAGTTGCTCCATCCTGACTGTCATAGTCATTTTCAGTTGAGGGAAGAGTCAGAAGTCCCACGGTGCCAGGCCTGGTGAATGAGGTGGATGAGGACGCAGTGTCATGTCTTTATAAGCCTGGCTTGCTATTGGATGCCACCTTGGCAGCAGCAGTCACTGCATTTCTTATCACAACTTGAAAAGACATGGGACCACCGGCAGGTGCCGTCACACTCAGCAAAGACAGTGTGCTTGTCTTAGTTACGTTTCTCTTGCTGCTGAGAAAAAATACCTGACAGCGTCAAAGGGGGAGAGGTTTATTTAGCTCACGGTTTATAGAGGTTTCAGTCCATAATCAAGGGCTGCAAGGCAGGGTGGCACGGCTGAGAGGCATCTCAGAGGAGAACACTTCACGGCAGGCAGGAAACAGCAAAAGCATGCAAGGGTCCACCAGGGTTCTTTCTGTCCCTTATGTCTTATCCAGGGTACTGAGGGCAGGTAGCACTCACACCCTTAATGCTGGCGCCCTTGAGCCTAGCATGCATCGTGAATCAGCGTCACACACTCTAGATCCAGCCACCTCTGAGAAAGCCCCAGCTGTGACTGCGTGAGGCTTTGGGGGGACATCTAGACACAGCCATAACAGCGCTATGCTGAGAGTGAATCTGAACCTTGAATTCCTCTTTGGCTTCCTGTGTGGCAGTGTGAGCTCGTCATCTCACATGTGCTCCTGATACCCACCATGAAGATCTCACCAGAGCTGAGCTGGTGTCAGTACCCGGCCCTTGAATCTCCAGATCTCTGAGTTAGGTAACTCTCTTTATAAGCTGGCCTGCCCCCAGCTTATAACTTCATTATAGTTGTAGGAAACACACCATCCATCTGAGGTCCTGCCTTGGCCTGGCTGGAATCCAGCTGAGACCTGGCCATGTCACCATCCTTCTGGATTTCCTTGTAAGATGAGGAGATTGGGTGATGTGACCCATATAGCCGTGAAATTGTATATATGGGTCATGGGGTCCCCTTTGCTCTTTTTCCCTTTGTGTGCTATCATTATGGACAGATGGGAAAAGGGATGGGAGGACAAACCTTCCAACCTGGCTTATTTGAAAAGAGACTTTCAGTTCTAAGATATCCAGCGGAAGCAGCACTGGGGTTTCCACAGTCTGCACCAAGACACTACCAATGTCTACAGCATCTGGTGGTGTCAGCCAGGCGATCTCAGCATCCTGGCTCCTGTGTGCTCTCTGTGAAGGCACTGGCAGCCCTGAGGGGGAAGGGGGTCATTGGAGGAGCTGCTAAAGACAGCAGGTCTGTGGAGTCCGGTCGCTGTGGAAGCCATGAGTCAGGGTTGTGCCCCAAAGCCTCATGCACTCATAGATGGGGCTCTTTGCAGGTGACTGGACCGTGGAGCTGTGACAGCTCACCTGCTATTAGGAGGCAGGGTCTGATCTGAGGAGGTGGGTCTCAAGGGTGGGACCCTGACCTAGAAGGTTCCATCTCCCTCCATGGCGCCTCCCTCCTCTGCTTCCTGTGCCCCATGCCATGAGCTGCTCCCCTCCGCCAGGCCCCTCCACCATGCCCCTCCACCATGCTGCCCAGCAGTGGAGCCAGCTGACCATGGATTAAAACCATGAGCCTAAATAAACTTCTCTTCTTTTAGGTCATGGGCATCAGGTGTTGTGTCCCAGAGAAGTGGAAAATGACTAAGTCATCGTATATATTAATCCAGGGAATATCGGATAAGCAAACACACTTCCCTGGAACTTGTGGCTTTGCAGTAACTTCATGTTCCAAGTGTTGGGAAGTCTGGTGAGTATAAGACTCACAGAATTCAGCAGAGGAGGAGCGAGGTGCTGCATGAGGACGCATGGGTTGCTGCTGGGCTCAGACTGCAGGGCGCACACTCCGGTGCTCCTCTCCCAGTGACCCCAAGTCCGCACCTCACCTTCTCACTTGTTGGAGGAGTTGCCTTCAGTTGAATCGTTTCTGTGCAGCCTCCTCCTGCTCTGTGCTCCAGGTGAACCTCTTGTGGCTTCTGGTGTTGCAGGCTGTGCTCAGGGTTTCCCTGGGTATTAGGGAACCAGTAATGACACTGTTGGTGATGCTGAGGGTGACAGCAAAGTGCTGGACACTCTGCCATGCACTGGAGGTCATTACCCGGCTTGAACTCAGGGCCTCTGCACTGAGCTACACTCTCTCTGACCCTCGCTGCAGCCCCTCCAGGTGAGGACTGCTATGGTCACTGATTGCCAGTAGGGACACTGCAGCTCACAGAGCAGAAGCTATTGAGTCATGGTGACAAGGTGACTCGGTGAGGATGCTAGGACTTTAAACTCTTGGCCCCCAAATCCATGCTCATAAATAACATGCGGCTGACAGAGAGCAGGGGAGATTGAACGGGCACCAAATACCGCTCAGCAGTTCCCAAGCCAGCGCGTCTCAGATCTCAGGGAAACGGCACAGCTGCTAGGATCCTAGTTGTTGTTATTATTACAGAAGAAGACAGGGAGACTCCAGAGGTTCCCCAACTTGTCTGAGGTGCCCTGGGGATTGAAGTGGCTGATCTCCATGCGACCCAGGGCAGCCTGATTCGCAAGCTCCACCCTTCCCCCCTGAGTTAAATTTAGAATCTGGATTTCCTGGTCAACCCATCAGTTCGCAAGTCGGCTGTTATGGTTTTAACTGTGAGGCCCCTCCCACAGGAGTGATGTCTGGGCCTGGGGGTCACCGCTGACCTAGATTGGGGCAATTTCAGCACCCCGCCCCCATGCTCAGGTTGGAATATTTATTGAGCGCCACCAGTCGTTTCCCAAGCAAAGGTGATCCCCCTGCGTAAATTAAGGGATGAAAGGTCTTCCTCCCCCGACACAGAACCAGCGTTGTCTGAACCTTTCTAACACAGGCATGCTTGCCGTCAGCACCTGCTGTGGTCCTGGCTAATATGCTCCCGGGACCACAGCCCTGTCATTAGCAGGGCCAGGCTCTCGCACAATGCTGGCCATTCTCAGTGAGCCTCTGTGTCACCAAGGGCTCTAGGATTTTCTAACACTAGACCCCTGTTGGCCCGAAAGTTCTAATCTCTTGCGGGCTTCCTGTCCCCATGCTCAGCATTGCCTCACCCCTGCGAGCCCTGCCCTTTTGAAAAGAGTCACTAAAGCGTTTCTAATGCCCACCCCATTTCCTCCAGTAAATGTAGACCTGTTTCCTGGAGTCCTATCAGTATGAAGAATCTTGAGCCATTTCTGATGCAATCTACCCGCTACTCAAATCCCCCTCATCTCTCCACTGGAATTGGATTCCAGATAAAGAAGATATCAGTTCTTCCATACAAGTGAATGCAGGTTGCTCTCGGGATTTCCTGATATCTTTTTCCTCATCTTTTCTGGAACACGTTGACTGACCATCTTTTGGCATTTGAGGAAGAGCTAACTGATGTGTGCATCCTTAATCTTTATTTATTCTTTTTATTTTAAAGAGAGTAGTAAATGAGAAACAAACAAAATAATAGAACAGTAGCAGCATACCAGTATCACGAACATAAATACATCAAAGCAAGAACATTCAAAGTGATATAGGGTCTCAAGACAAAATAATACGAATCAACAGTGGTTGTTACATTACATATCGCTATCCTCAACTACATTGCTCAGATTATCAGATGCAAGAATGAAAGAATGCTCAAACCATTAAAGAGAATAAAGGAATAATTCTTCTATAAAACATTAGAGATAATA